AATACCACAGGCTACACAAGCTGAATTGAAAGGGATCCACAATCCACGAGGATGACCAAGTCCAGCTACTGGCCCTACAGTGGACAACCCTAAAAACCTCACCATATCCCTGAGAGCATTTTTCAAGCACTTGAGCTCTGTCAGGTTTGGGGCTGTGACCACTTCCCCAGGGAGCTGTTCCAGTGTCTAACCACCCTCTGGTGGAAGAATCTTTTCCTAATATCCAACCTAAACCTCTCCTGACACAACTTCAGGCCATTCCCTTAGGTCCTGCCACTGGTTGCCAGAGAGCAGAGATCAGTTCCTGTCCCTCTGCTTCCCTCATGAGGAAGGTGCGGACTGTGATGAGGTCTGACCTCAGTCTCCTCCTTGCTGAACAGACCAAGTGACCTCAGTCACTCCTTGTGTAGCTTCACCTCTAGGCCTTTCACCATATCAGATAAGTTGGGTTTTTTTTCCCTTGCCTCCAGTTTACACATCTGCAGAACCTCACATCCCACATGTAAAGGTATTCAAAACTTCTACTATCCCAGTCAGTGTTTAATATTAATATTAAATACATGACTCTAAACACCAGATTACTCAAGAGAGGCTGAGCAAACACCAGTAATGAGCATAAACATCCTGAAATACAATGTTCTGGACACTTCCATCCCAAGGATACGTCACACACGCTGTATTATGCACTAGAAGAGATGGGAGAGGGTCTCCATGGTTTGCTCCCATTCCATACATACCACACGTGATTGCTCCCACGACGAAGCCCTGGGCTGCCACACGCATGTGAATCAGGTGGAGTGACATTTTCATGTCACCTCTGTGCTTCAGTCGGTACAGCCCATAGCCAACCACCGCAGTAAATCCAGCCATCCCTGCAAGGCAAGGACAGCATCCTCCTGAGTGGAGATCTAGGGCATGGAGGTGAGTCAACTCACCCACCCTAACAAAATACCCTGGGAATCACAGAGTTGTTTAGGTTGAAAAAGACTCTTAAGATCATTGAGTCCAACCACTAACCCAGCACGGCTAGGGCCACCACTAAACCGTGTCCTTATGTGTCACATCCACATGGCTTTTAAATGCCTGCAGGAATGGTATCTCCACCACTGCCCTGGGCAGCCTGTGTCAGTGCTTCACAACACTTTCCTTGAAGAAATTTTTCCTAATATCTAATTTAAACCTTTCCTGGTGCAACTTGAGACCATTCCCTCTCATCCTAAATAAGCATGTTTTGGTGTGATCCCTCTGGTTTTGTGTGGCAAGTCCTGTCCCATCTAAAGTTCCCTGCACTGACTTGTGCATTGGATAAGGTGGAAGAGCAAGATTTCCACCAGCCTTGAAATGCCAAAGGTGGAGCACCAGATGTCAGAGTTCCCTGGATATTTTCCACACAGAATCAGGAGTCCTTGCACCCTCTTTCCTGGATGGAAGCTCACACTCAGGAACCTCCCTGGGCTGCTGCTCGGACCCTCCACGTGTGGATGCTCCTGACATACTCACCAGCCTGTTGCAGTTGCTATTTTGGGTGCTGTCACATTTGGCCAGCAGCCACTGGGACAGGACAAGTGACATGTTGCTGTCCCCGAGCTGTGAGGACAGAGGCTCAGCAAGGTCCCTTTCCCAGGGACAGAGTGCACTGTTCATCCTTCAGTGGAGCAAACAGCTCCAGCTTTGCCAGTTCCAACCAGTGTACACCGATGCTCTCACAGTATACAGAGCAGCAATGCACAAAACTTTCCAATTCCATCCATTTAATTCCATTTTTAGGATGAATATTTACAAAATTCAAAGGTAGCTGCCAAGTTTTAAGAGCTGTGTATATTTTAGTGACAAGAGCCCAGATCGTCTCTAAGCCAGAGCATTACTAGCTCCACCATTAAGCCTCAAGCTCTTAATTCATGTGGTATCTTCAGTAAATGCCAATTAAGAATTTTAGGGCCTTCAAACCAGCTCTGATACAGGTGAAAGGTTGAGTTCTGCCAGTCTGCTGGAGTTCACAGTACACCCTAGCAAGGAGGAGACAAAGTCCTGTGACCACAGGAACCGATGACAGATATCTGTTGGCAAACACTTGGAACAGTTCACCCTGAGTGACCTGACTGCTCTCTATTTAAGGTGGATGGAAATTGTGTCTCTACTCAGAGTAAAGCTCTCAGGGTGGACATCACTGATCCCCTCACTCCTGAGAGGCTTTTTGGGGGTCTCAGCAGTGAGGCTGAGGACTTTACAACTTTCTCAAGCTGAGGCAACATAAAACCTTCCAAGAAAACACATTTTAAACTCAGGGATGGCAGCAGAGGGGTGAAAGGTTTAGCAGTTGGGCTGTAATTTAAATCCTTCTAGTTCATATTTTGTTAGCTTATAAGTCACTTTGTAGTGATCACATAATTCCCAGGAACTGTGCTCCAGAGTGGCTGCACAACACACTCCTTATCCACCTGACAGCATCACCTAAACATTTTCTAAGCTCACCTGAACAGACTTTCAGAGTTTGTTGGTCTGGGGTTTTTTATTGTACTTGTAGGTTGAGTACAGTAGCTAACAGACCTCATTGATTTCACTCTTTCTTGCAGGACAAATACCACTCTGGGCAGAAATATTACAGCTGTCACCACATAAAAAGCCTTAAATGGCGAAGCAATTTCAAAGCAATTTCCTGTTCCCAGGAGAAAGGTGAACAGTGATGGTGGTTACCACATCGATTGCCTGTGAAGAGAAAGGTCTGTACAAACACATTTCTGCATTTTGAAACTTACCAATGGGCACAAATGGAGTCTCTTTAAATTTTCTCATCAGCTTCGAGGTCTGGCTGGTGTCAGTCTCATACTCAGAGTATACAGATTCCTGACTGGGTGACATGGTAGCTGTGAAGACAGAGTCTCTCTTCAGGTTTCAGAAAGTCCAAGTTAAGAGAATTTTTAGGAAAAGATATTCCCATGCATATTTCACCAGTCACAAATGCCCAGGTAGCAAGATACAAGCACAGGAGCGACAGACAGATGATTTAATTCAAATGAAGTGTTGGGAAGTGAGATTTTTCCTCACTAGGAGAGGTAAGAACAGGACAAAACAAACAAATGAATAGGGAAGCAACAAATTTCTACCACCATTAAAGATGTCAGTGTCCTCCCACATGCTCACAGGCAGCAAGAAGTCACAGAAAGCTTTGGATACTGCCTGTGTTTCCTTTTAGGAATTCCATGTCCACCACACTGCTTTGCTTTCACAGGCTGTTCCTTTATGGCAGCTCTGACCTCAGCAGAGTTCCCTTCTTCCCTCTCACTCCCTGCCAAGAACGGCAACAACGGCAGAAGGTCAGCCCTGCCTGGCAGCTCCTCACTCACTACAGCTTATCCCACCTCATTCACTTGAACGTGATTCCACATTCC